CCTGGACTCAGTCAATCCTCCCTCCTCTGCCTCCTAAAGTGCTGGGATTACAGGCGTGAGCTACTGTACCGGGCAAGCTTATTTTTTATATTTTGTTGGGTCCTTCTTGTGTCTAAAGCTCCTGGGATTCAATCCTGCCATTTTTCACTCTTGCTCATGCTAGATGACTTTTCGCCGTGTCTTTTAGTTTTGGGCTGGCCTATGAAGTCAGATCCAGCAGTGCTCTCTCTGGGGAGTCCTACTAGGCCTTGGCTGAGAGTGAGTTCCTTCAGAATGGGTTTCATTTCCTTCTATGAGACATTCATAGTTATCACTGGCCAGGAACTAATTTTTACTGCATTTCTCAGCTTAGAGGTTCCTGGGTCATATGAATAGTACACATTGAAATCTCAGACATTGCGAGAGCAGGTTTGTGGTTACTAATTCTCAAGAATCTTTATTTTTCTACTTGGAGTTAGGCCAAGATGGCTAAGTTTTTCCCTAGGCTGGTGAGCTGATTATTTTCTGGACTACCCTTTATGTGAGTTGTAACCTTCTGAGGATTCTGGCTCTGCGGAGGGCCTCGGTTCCAACTCTGTTTCTTGTGCAGGCCCAGTTGTAGGTTCTTCCTATCCAAGCACTAAAATCCAAGCACTGAAGTCACCAGGAACTGCTGCCTCCCTCAGCAGCACGCTTCTTTCTCTCCTTATATTCAGTCATTTGTAATGTTTTACTTCCCTAAGATCAGAGATATCATGCAAAATGATGCTTTTTCTTTTCGAGACTGAATCTTGTTCTGTCGCCCAGGCAGGAGGGCAGTGGCACAATCTCAGCTCACTGCAAACACTGCCTCCCAGGTTCATGCCATTCTCCCACCTCAGCCTCCCGAGCAGCTGGGACTACAGGCACCTGCCACCAGGCCCAGCTAATTTTTTGTATTTTTAGTAGAGACGGGGTTTCACCATGTTAGCCAGGATGGTCTCAATCTCCTGACCTCCTGATATGCCCACCTCAGCCTCCCAAAGTGCTGGGATTACAGGCAAGAGCCACCGCGCCCAGCCAAAATGATGCTTTCTTTATCAAACATTTCTAACTGGTAATAGCTTAGACTTTTTAGGGTTTGCCTCAGCAATGTTGCTAGAAATCTGTGGGCTTTTTCTATCTTTCCCTTCCCCAGATAACCAGCCAGCATGATCTCTTAAGACTCTTTGCTCTTACAGACCCCATCATTTCTCAAATATGCTCACCCTCAAGTGACTACAGTCTCAGAGCAAATGGCTAAGGTACAGGCTGGACATTAGAGGATTAGAGTCCCCACTCTGGACATCTAAGCACTACCAGGCTTTAGGGGAAAGAAAATGTTGCCTGGAGCTCCTTTGCTAGCAAAGGGCAGTGCCCAGATGACCTGAGGAGCTCCATGGTATAAAGCAAACAGTTAAATGTGATAGAAAGAGCATGAACATTAGGACTAGAGAGACCTGGGTTCAAATCTCAGCCTCTCCTCTCACTATCTGTGTGCCTTGTAAGCTGCTATGAGACTGCTTGGCATTTATAGAATGGTTATAATAATGTTACTTTTTTGTTGTGTTTTTGGATTTTTATTGTTGTTGTTTTTTGAAATGGAGTCTTGCTCTGTC